CTGCTCCTCCATCTGTGTTCTTCACAGAAAAAAGGGGGAAATAGAGGATATACATGTAAAGATATGTTATACTGGTCCCATTTTTAAACACACACACACTAAATTACATACCATGTATTCTTTCACAAGGTTCTCGGGCTCTTCATTCAGGTACACACACAGGGCTTTGATGATGCACTCTCTTTTGACATCAATGGCGTCAGTCTGAGTATGTAGGACAATAAATAAAAGATAAACATTTTAATCAACTGGTAGAAGATTTTACAAACAAAACTTTAAATTATACATTCTTCGAAATGTAAAAATCATTGACATTTTTTATGATATATGAACTTACAATATCCATGGGTGCATTGGTTTTATGTCCCAGCAAGACATTTCATCATAGAAATATGTCAAATGTAATCATGTGCTCCCAGGAAACAGTACCCACCATTGTAACATCGGTGGACATTGTCACATCTGCCCAAGGTTAATATTTTATCAGATCCTTCTTCATAAAAGTACATTAACCCCTCTCCATCTAGTTTTATTTCTCCCCATCCCTCTGAAACTTCCGCTTTAAATTTCAAGCATGAAGTTTAGAATATTGAATCGGTACAGGTTTGACAATTTCTATTTTATTCTATTATCATACCTTGGTGATGGGTATCTTGATGCTCCTTATCTTTCTTCCTTGAACGCCGCCTTTCTTGCCAAACGCCCTCATCAAGAATTAGCATCCAGCTGGGAGAAGAACTTTGACAGCAAACTGACGGTTGTAATCCTCTTAAATTCAGCAGTTAGCTAAAACAGAAACGGTACACAAAAGTAAATTTAACTATCATAGCATTGAAATGACCGACTAGTTTAACAATTGTCATCTATCACCAAATCCTGAATCAGCTTACAAGTTATTTCCAAGGCTAGCCCATATTTTGTTGGCTGATATAAATCACACTGTACATATTTCAATCAAAGTTAATGAGTGCTGTGCATTTATTCAAGATGCAAATAGGATGATTGATTACTAGTTTAGATTATGAGGCAAACAATGCAGCCACATTCTTAAAATTAAAAGCATTTCTGAAAATACTTTTTCATTTTCAAAATGTACAGGTGCTGGTCATAAAATTAGAATATCATGAAAAAGTAGATTGATTTCAGTAATTCCATTTAAAAAGTGAAACTTGTATATTATATTCATACATTACATACAAACTCATATATTTCAGATGTTTATTTTGTTTAATTTTGATGATTACAAATGACAACAAATGAAAATCTCAAATTCATCATATCAGAAAATTAGAATATTACTGAAGACCAATAAAAACAAAGGATTTATAGAAATGTTGGCCAACTGAAAAGTATGAACATGAAAAGTATGAGCATGTACAGCACTCAGTATTTAGTTGGGCCTCCTTTGGCCTGTATTACTGCAGCAATGCGGCGTGGCATGGAGTCGATCAGTCTGTGGCACTGCTCAGGTGTTATGATAGCCCAGGTTGCTCCAATAGTGGCTTTTAGCTCTTCTGAATTGTTGGGTCTGGTGTATTGCATCTTCTTCTTCACAATACCCCATAGATTTTCTATGGGGTTAAGGTCAGGAGAGTTTGCTGGCCAATTAAGAACAGGGATACCATGGTCCTTCAACCAGGTACTGGTAGCTTTGGCACTGTGTGCAGGTGCCAAGTCCTGTTGGAAAATGAAATCTGCATCTCCAAAAAGTTGGTCAGCTGCAGGAAGCATGAAGTGCTCTAAAACTTCCTGGTATGTGGCTGCGTTGACCCTGGACCTCAGAAAACACAATGGACCAACACCAGCAGATGACATGGCACCCCAAACCATCACTGACTGTGGAAACTTTACACTGGACTTCAAGCAACGTGGATGAAGTGCCTCTCTTCTTTTCCTCCAGACTCTGGGACCTTGATTTCCAAAGGAAATGCAAAATTTACTTTCATCAGAGAACATGACTTTGGACCACTCACCAGCAGTCCAGTCCTGTTTCTCTTTAGCCCAGGCAAGACGCTTCTGACGCTGTCTGTGGTTCAAGAGTGGCTTGACACAAGGAATGCGACAGCAGAAACCCATGTCTTTCATACGTCTGTGTGTGGTGGTTCTTGAAGCACTCACTCCAGCTGCAGTCCACTCTTTGTGAATCTCCCCCACATTTTTGAATGGGTTTTGTTTCACAATCCTCTCCAGGGTGCGGTTATCTCTCTTGCTTGTACACTTTTTTCGACCACATCTTTTCCTTCCCTTCACCTCTCTATTAATGTGCTTGGACACTGAGCTCTGTGAACAGCCAGCCTCTTTAGCGATGACCTTTTGTGTTTTGCCCTCCTTGTGCAAGGTGTCGATGGTCGTCTTTTGGACAACTGTCAAGTCAGCAGTCTTCCCCATGATTGTGTAGCCTATAGAACTAGACTGAAAGACCATTTAAAGGCTTTTGCAGGTGGTTTGAGTTAATTAGCTGATTAGAGCGTGGCACCAGGGGCCATCAATTTTGAACCTTTTCACAATATTCTAATTTTCTGATATGATGAATTTGAGATTTTCATTTGTTGTCATTTGTAATCATCAAAATTAAACAAAATAAACATCTGAAATATATGAGTTTGTATGTAATGTATGAATATAATATACAAGTTTCACTTTTTAAATGGAATTACTGAAATCAATCTACTTTTTCATGATATTCTAATTTTATGACCAGCACCTGTACATTTCAAATTTATTTTTGGTATGAATTTTCTGGGGTACATTTTCAAAAAATAAATCTCAAATGTATTTTCTTTTTTATTTTAATTAAGTAAAATGATGAGAAGCGTTAAAGAAGAAATTTAAAATGCAAACAGGATGATTGATTAGTAATTTCATTTATGAGTCAAACAGTGCAGCCACATTCTTAAAATTAAAAAGTACCTCTGAAAATGCTTTTTCATTTGAAATATGGTAACGATTTGCTTCCATAGCTGGGCTACAGCACAACAGTACATTTATGGTAGTACACATTTGTTCCCTCGTCAACAAAGTGAATAAAATCTGACTGTGGAAAGCTCCATAGCGTGAAGAACTACTGTGTTGGCGTTACTAGCTGCATGAGCTAATGCTACATGGAGTTGACATAGAAACCCCGCCAAGGTGCCGGGATGCCGTGGTAGTTTCCAAACTTAGAGCTAATGACTGTTAAGTGCCGAGTTTTCTGCGGACTCCATGTGAAACCAAAATTCGGATTGGGGGGAAATTCATCACCACTATTATTCATGTAGCCTATGTGACTGGAGCCTTTTAGCTGCAGCTACATTCACCAAACGCAGGCAATTATCCCCCACCAGCCATGCATGCATTAGCTCTTAGCTCATTTTGTAAATGAATCCGCGCGCGTTGTCAACCATGCCGTCGACCTCAGGATGCTAGCTTGTAAGCTTAGTTAGCTATGAGCATGGCGACAGTCTGATATATTAATGCACTCTAATAAAACGCCCAGTAACAATTAAATAATCCAAAATGCAAAAGAGGACAATAACTAACTGTCTATAACATGTCTGCTGCCATATTGTTTTCTGCTCGATGGATGGTAAAAGAGTAAACTTACCTTCTTCCACACTTGAAATTTCTTTTCAAAATGTCGACTCCTCTTTGCCAGCCAGAGTCGGGGACTCACTCACCTTTGACCGTGGCCTTCAAGAGAGGGGAATGTGCTCATTACTGCCACCTACTGCTTTGGAGTGTTATTGATTTGCAACCCATTAGAATTAGGTTGTTTTAACATAAATTATTCAAGTAAATTTTAAGTTGTTGCATTTTATGCTAAATCTACATGATTTAAAACTGTTCAACCACAAAACATGATTTTATATATTAGAAGCTACATGTTAGACATAAGATAAGGTAACAGACACCCAGTTTGCTTTTTTTGAGTGTGCTGCTAGTTTTGTTGCAAGCATGGAAAACGATCCACAGATCAAACACGTAGCGCTTTGATGCAGGTATCTGAACTTTCTTCCATGTTTTCCCCAAATCCTAAAAATATTAATCAGACCAAGGATTTCGGGGTTAGAGAGCACAGCTCTGATGTCAATTCCTGCTTGGTTCCTCATGACTCAATAAACTCCTCCCAACAGAAACACGTCCAGCGTTCACTGTTCCTCCGTCACCTATGGCTATGTGACATTTGCTTCAGGATAAACATTTAATCGTAAATGCTTATTATATATTTTTAAATACACTTAGAGCCCATGTTGCTATACGAGGCTTATATAAGGCTTTTACATTTTTACGGCTCCAGACAGATTTTTTTTTTTTTTTTTTGGTCCAATATGGCTCTTTGAGCAGTTTGGGTTGCCGACCCCTGCCTTAGAACAATCAGAGCTGCAAACCAGTGAATCAGGCCTGTTCATTGGTTGACGTTCCCTTAGAACAATCAGAGCTGCAAACCAGTGAATCAGGTCTGTTCATTGGTTGACGTTCCCTTAGAACAATCAGAGCTGCAAACCAGTGAATCAGGCCTGTTCATTGGTTGACGTTCCCTTAGAACAATCAGAGCTGCAAACCAGTGAATCAGGTCTGTTCATTGGTTGACGTTCCCTTAGAACAATCAGAGCTACAAACCAGTGAATCAGGCCTGTTCATTGGTTGACGTTCCCTTAGAACAATCAGAGCTGCAAACCAGTGAATCAGGTCTGTTCATTGGTTGACGTTCCCTTAGAACAATCAGAGCTACAAACCAGTGAATCAGGCCTGTTCATTGGTTGACGTTCCCTTAGAACAGTGGTTCTCAAACTTTTTCTGTCATTCCCCACTTTGGACAAGAGGGAATTTTCAAGCCCCGCCTGTCCCCATTGCCCCAACACAATGCTAATGAAATATGCAACAATCTTAAAATGTTCCAATTTTATTGAAGTAACAAGTAGTATCTAAATTAGGGCTGCAACTAACGATTATTTTGAAAATCGATGAATCGGCCGATTATTTTTTCGATTAATCGATGAATCGGACACAAAATATTTTTTTTATATTAACCTCTTTATTCCAAAATAAACATTTTAGACAGAACAAACAAGAACACAAGTACAGGTTTCTCATTAACTGTACTGGTGCTATATGAAAAATAAATGTTTGTTTTAAAACTACGCAAACTTACATGAGAAATGTAGCTGTACATCCACAAAATATAGGCTACTTTGTTTCATAAAGCGCAAAAAAAGACAGGCATTTTTGTTTTTTAAAGCCCCTAAGGGGTTCAAACAATAGGCCCCCCCATTTCAACAAATTTGTTTTTTTTAGACTAGAAGAGTTCTGCCTCTTAAGACAGGAAAGTATAGCAGTTAAAGTTGCTACTTGAGAAAATACTGAACCATAGAGATAAAAATAGCCCTGTGATTCAAATTATAAATTGTATTTGGAATAAAAATGAGAGAACTAGGGGTGCTAAAAAACACATCCTCCAAAGACAGATATTTACATGGGAATGTGGCATATACTTAATTGACATATTACTGATCTTGCTGGATTATATTCTGCTTTACTTCCATAAATTGCAGGATCTTCTTTATCTTTGCCAGAAGATTTAAACTTTAAAAGCCTTGCCCTCATAATTTGCAAATTAATTTATTTATAAAGAAAATATAAACGCTGCTTAAGCTAATTCAAATGAAATTAAAAGTAAAATAAGTAGCCAACCTTATCACTGTCTGTAACCTACTAACAAGCTAAGGAAAGCATCAGATGAGCTACCTGAGAAACTAACTTACGTTTCCCCACTTTAAAATGAAACAAACATGGTTACTCATCCTGCTGATCAGCTCTCTTCACTGCCATCGAGGCTCCAACATGTTTTCTTTTCAGGTGCTGCGTCATAACAGTGGTGCTTCCGTGCCATGTTTATTTGTTTTTACAAAAGTTGCATGTTACGACTTTTTTCACTTTACAAAGCGCAGGCTATTTTAATTATTGTGATCAATTTGCGCCTCAATCCCGGGGCATGCGCGCTTCATTTGCAGTCTGGACGCTGAGGGTAAACTCCTCACTAAAATCCTGCGGCTCGGACTGCACCGCTGAGAGGGATTCTGTGGGAGAGGGAGAAAGGCGTTGGGATGGGGGAGGCGCCCCACGGCAGCAGCTGCCGCTGGAGGACAAGAGTAGGAACGATACATGCTTTCACGTAAGAGTCTCCAAAAGCCGCCAGTGACACCGTAAAAAGTCGCCAGATTTGTCGCTAGTCGCTTTTAAAAAAAATAGTCGTTGGAGGGGTCTGAAAAGTCGCTGAGTTGCCAACACTGCAACTGCGGCGCTGACTCGCTCCGCCATATTTTTTTTTCTTCTCCGGGATGACGGCGGCGGCGGATGACGCATTAATCGCGCGACACAACTAATCGATGATTAAATTCGTTGCCAACGCTTTTAAAAGTCGATTTTTATCGATTTTATCGATTCGTTGTTGCAGCCCTAATCTAAATACAAACTATCTACATCAAATAACAGCAAGCTCAAAACTAAAGAAAATAAAAATGCAGCTGTGTCAAAATTTGTATCAAGCTCAAAGATAGAAAAAATTAAAGTGCCACTCTGCAATCTGTTAAAAAAAGAAAAGAAGTGAAATCCATCTGGCAAGACAGGTCTATTTATCCCTGCATTAGTGGCTGCAATGAGCCTGTTTCGCATTGCAGTTTCTCAAAACGGGGTTGCAGGCTTGATACTGCCACTCTCAAGTCATGCTCAATGTTCAGCTGAGATCTGTATTTTGTTTTCAGTGAAGCAACAGTTGAAAAGCCCATCTCACAGAGATATGATGTGGCAAAGGGAAGAAGAATGCACACAGCTCTCTGCCCGATGAGTGGATACTCCCTCTCCACTCCAAACCAGAATTCACTATTAGTCTGAGCATTAAACCTGAGCCTCAGGGTGGAGTCAGACGTCATTTCAATAAACTGGTCCTATTTATTTAAGATAAAATATTTCAAATTCAGTTAATTATGATCAACCTGAGCCGTCAATCCCGGCGCATGTGCGCTTTATTTGCAGTCTGGACGCTGAGGGTAAACATGCTGTGTCTCTGACTGCAGCGCTGAGAGGGACTCCTGCGATAGCGGGGGAGAACGGGTTGGGATGGGGGAGGCGCCCCACGGCTGCACCTGCCGCTGGAGGACAAGAAAAGGAACGATACGTGCTTTCACGTAAGAGTCTCCAAAAGTCGCTAATTTGTCGCTAGTTGCTTTTTTGATAAAGAGTCGCTGGAGGGGTCTGAAATATAGCGACAAAGTCGCTGAGTTGGCAACACTGGGGCGCAAAAGTTTATTCTGTTACAAATAATATGCCGACGTCACGTCACTCATTATTTTGGCACTTCAGTTCCAGGTGAAATGTTTCTCATATCTAATGTTCTTTTAATTAGACTGCATGTAGGCTAGTAATGATTACTTTGTGGGTTTGATTGGTCTAAAAAGCGGCAACATACAGCTATAAGGACAGTTTGCTCTCACAAGTTCTACATTTACAGTCACACACACACACACACACACACACACACACACACACACACACAAACACACACACACACACACACACCGGAACTTGGCGCCCCCCACCTGTCACGTCTGAATTCCCCACCAGTGGGTCGCGCCACACACTTTGAGAACCGCGGCCTTAGAACAATCAGAGCTACAAACCAGTGAATCAGGTCTGTTCATTGGTTGACGTTCCCTTAGAACAATCAGAGCTGCAAACCAGTGAATCAGGTCTGTTCATTGGTTGACGTTCCCTTAGAACAATCAGAGCTACAAACCAGTGAATCAGGTCTGTTCATTGGTTGACGTTCCCTTAGAACAATCAGAGCTGCC